ATCCCAGGACCACACGGGGGGGACCTGGTGAATGACCTGCAGAGAGATGGGACCAACGTAACAAAGGCTACCATCAGTAACACACTACGCCGCCAGGGACTCAGATGCTGCAGTGCCAGACGTGTCCCCCTGCTTAAGCCAGTACATGTCCCGTCTGAAGTTTGCTAGAGAGCATTTGGATTATCCAGAAGAGGATTGGGAGAATGTCATATGGTTAGATGAAACCAAAATAGAACTGTTTGGTAGAAACACAACTCGTTGTATTTGGAGGAGAGAGAATGCTGAGTTGCATCCAAAGAACACCATACCTACTGTGAAGCATGGGGGTGGCAACATCATGCTTTGGGGCTGTTTCTCCACAAAGGGACCAGGACGACTGATCCATGTACAGGACAGAATGAATGGGGCCATGTATCGTATTTGAGTGCAAACCTCCTTCCATCAGCAAGGGCATTGAAGATAAAACGTGGCTGGGTCTTCCAACATGACAATGATCCCAAACATACCACCTGGGCAACGAAGGAGTGGCTTCGTAAGAAGCATTTTCAAGGTCCTGGAGTGGCCTAGCCAGTCTCCAGATCTCAACCCCATAGAAAACCTTTGGAGGGAGTTGAAAGTCTGTGTTGCCCAGCGACAGCCCCAAAACATCACTGCTCTAGAGGAGATCTGCATGGAGGATGGGCCAACATACCAGCAACAGTGTGTGCCAACCTTGTGAAGACTTACAGGAAACGTCTGACCTCTGTCATTGCCAACAAAGGATATATAACAAAGTATTGAGATGAACTTTTCATATTGACCAAATACTTATTTTCCACCATAATTTGCAAATAAATTCTTTCCAAATCAGCCAATGTGATTGTCTGGATTTGTTTTCTCATTTTGTCTCTCATAGTTGAGGTCTCCCTATGATGCCAATTACAGGCCTCTCTCATCTTTGTAAGTGGGAGAACTTGCACAATTGGTGGCTGACTAAATACTTTTTTTGCCACACTGTATATATTACCATAGCAAAGACCCTAATGGGTCTTCAAGAAATCGGAGGGGACCTTGTAGGACAACTGAGACTCGGAAAAAAAACGTTAAAAGCGGCCAAGAGTGTGACTTGCTAACTGTACTAAAAGCAAAAAATATTTACATACAATATTATACACATTTTTGTTTCTTGTTTTTGGAGTCCTTGCCATAGTAAAGACCCTGATGGACATTCCAGCATCTCACAATAAGTTGGAAGGACCTTGTAAATGTAGAACAACGGTCCGTTCTCAGACTGAGATATAAACTCAGTAAACGCAGGTTTTGCCTTCCTTTATTATTCTTAGACAAATAATAGAAGCCTCAACTCTCCTCTTAGGTCATGCACCATGGGCATTGTCTCCCAGCACATTACTGCCTAACAAAGCTTTGAATCATCCGAGCTTATTAAGTTTCATTCGCCACGAGTCCTTGAGATGTTCTGCTGAAACATCCTCATACCCGGTATAGGATTGTTATCACAGGTGAACCAGTAATCAGAATAGGCATTTGTCCTTCATCTTCAAACAGAAATGATTCCACAATTATATACATATATATATTTATTGAATAAAGAACATTCATTGTAACTCACTTTTATTATTCTATTGCAGCCAAAATACAGACCAGAACATTGCGTATGGATTAGACTGTCCCCAAAGTGCTGTGGGGGGGAAAACAACTGAAGCGTATTCGCTTTGTAAAATCCTTTTGTTGGATTATAATATTCATCTGTGTCCTCATCCTTGAGGACTCAGTTGACATTAGCGCCGATGTATACATCAACATTGACTTTGGTACGTGGTGTTGATGGACTGCAATGATGAGTGCAGATGTACAGAGGAACAAGTGGTGGTTCACTCACCTGCTACGCTGCGGAGGATAATTGACGCACAAGAAGCAACTGGGGGGGGGGGGGTGGCGTTGTCTCTGCTGGAGTCATTTTATTTGAAGGCTCCAACAATTTAAAGCCCAAATCCAGGCAAAACGTTAAAAAAACAACTCAAACTTAGAGCATTGGAGGAACATGTGGTATTTGCACATTGTGCTTTGCTGCATTAAAGCATCGCATTCATTTTTCAAAGGGTTGCCAACACGCCACAATGTATTGAAACACCACAATGTACTGACACACCACAATGTACTGACACCACAATGTACTGACACCACAATGTACTGAAACACCACAATGTACTGAAACACCACTGAATGTACTGACACCACAATGTACTGAAACCACAATGTACTGAAAACAATGTACTGACACCACAATGTACTGAAACACAATGTACTGACACACAATGTACTGAAACACCCACAATGCACTGAAACACCACAATGTACTGAAACACCACAATGCACTGAACACCACAATGTACTGACACACCACAATGTACTGACACCACAATGACTGACACACACCACAATGTACTGACACACACAACAATGCACTGAAAACACAATGCACCACACAATGTACTGACACCACAATGCACTGAAACACCACAATGTACTGACACCACAATGCACTGAACTGCACTGACACCACACCACAATGCACTGACACCACAATGTACTGAAACAATGTACCACACCACAATGTACTGACACCACAATGTATTGAAACACCACAATGTACTGACACCACAATGCACTGAAACACCACAATGTACTGACACCACAATGCACTGAAACACCACAATGCACTGACACCACAATGCACTGAAACACCACAATGTACTGACACCACAATGTACTGAAACACCACAAATGTACTGAAACACCACAATGAACTGAAAACACCACAATGCACCCATTTTAACCTCCCTGGCGGTATTCCCGAGTGTAGCCCGGGGTAAAGTTTCAGTACCAAAAGCGGTAACCCCGAGCTACACTCGGGTTTACCATGCGGCGCTGCATAGGGATTCCCTACAGCGCTTACCTTGTCCTTCACTCCCGCGATGTGTCCCCTGCAGCGTCCCCGGCCATCTCCTCCGGCCGATGCCGGCATCTGGCTTCCGTGTTCCGGTCCCTGTGACGTCGGAACGTACGGGTGCCGGAACCGGAGGCAAATTTGAAAATTTAAAAAAATGACATTTTTTTTTTAAAACAATTATTTCATAGCAAAACATTCCTGTATCAAACCATTTCACATACATTTTGTCCCGAGTGCTTTGTCCGGCGCCCTGCCTGCATTTTTACTGTTCTTTCTGCCTGGAAACTTAGAAAAGTCCATGGCGTCCAAAAAGCGTCCCTTTAGGTCAAAATCGGTTTTAGACCGGCTAGAGAACAGCGATAGTAAATCAGAACCACTTGCAGAATTGAGTGATAATGATTCGTGGGGGAAATTCCTCATCAGACACTGAAAACAATTCTGCGACTTTGCTCAGCGATGTGCGAACTTGGCGCTCTATTTCACATTTCAGTGTTTTTGGTTTGATTATATTATTGAATTAAATGTATTATTATTATATTATTATTTTTTATGATTATTTATTAAATTATAATTTATGATTTCGTGTTTCAAGTTTTATCATCCCCGGGATGTTTACTAGACTCTTGTTCGGACAGATTTCAGGGAGTTATTCCTAAATTACAGCCTACAATAAAAAAAATACATATTTCCATGCAAAAAATGGTACCGCTTTCAGCACCAAAAATCTGAAATAATCATACCGCCAGGGAGGTTAATAATGCAGCACACTGCAACTGGTACACATCTGTGCTTTGCAGTACACTACAATGTAAGTGCATCGTGTTTGCATTACCCAGGTGCATTGGAGTGCCATTCAAAAACAAATGGATCCACAACATGTGTTAAGCATTGCAATACATTGCAGCAAAGAGTGTGCCTTGTCATGTGCTACCACTATCACTAGTGTAAATCTCCTTTTTTATATAACCAGGAATGATTAGAGATCCCATTCTTAACTGGGGTTCTGTGAAACTCTAGGGTTCCTCTAGATCAGGGGTGTCAAACTGGTGGCCCTCCAGCTATACTGACACTATGCTAATGGCACTGGGCAGGAAGGGGTTAATGTGATCCCAATAAGTGTATGTTGATTGGTTTGTGTGATAGTTATAGCGTTTACAAACTATGGGATGTATACTGAAATATTTATTTTATACCAGTAGGCCATGATCAGCGACTTATAGTGGGACTGTAATGTGATGGCCAATCTGACACTAACTGACACTGGGTGAGAACTAACTGACACTGACATCACCAGTGGCACTAATATAGTGCTAATACTATACATCAGGGATGTCAAACTGGCGGCCCTCCAGCTGTTGCAAAACTACAAGTCCCATCATGCCTCTGCCGTTGGGAGTCATCCTTGTAACTGTCAGTCTTGCAATGCCTCATGGGACTTGTAGTTTGGCAACAGCTGGAGGGCTGGAAGACCAGTTAGCCACAGCTCAAGGAACCCCTAGCAACCTCTAGAGAAGGGGTGTCAAACTTGCGGCCCTCCAGCTGTTGCGAAACTACAAGTCCCAACATGCCTCTGCATTTCGGAGTCATGCTTGTAACTGTCAGCCTTACAATGCCTCATGGGACTTGTAGTTCAGCAACAGCTGGAGGGCCGCCAGTTTGACACCCGTGCACTAGAGGTTTCTAGAGTTCCTTTGTCTGTGTCTGAACTACCTCCCATCTGATTGTTCCCAAGTCAATGCCACCTGGCAAAGTCAACAGCATGTACCCGGTGATAATCTTACCTCTTATTAAAGGGGGCATTTTGACTACCACTGTAAGGGGTCATACTTCCCATTAACTACCAATGTAAGAGGCATTGTTCCCCACTGACCACCAATGTAAAGAGCATTTTTCCCACCGACTATCAATGTAAGGGGCATTCTTCCCACTTACTATTAATGTAAGGGGCATTTTCCCCACTGACCCCCAATGTAAAGAGCAGTCTTCCAACTGACCATGGCCATACTTCCAATTAACTATCAATGTAAGGGGCTCTTTTCCCCACTGACTACCAATGTAAGGAGTATTCTTCCCAATAGTCACCAATGTAAGTAGGATTTCCCCCACTGACCACCAATGTAAGGAACATTCTTCCCTCTGACCACCAATGTAAGGAGCATTCTTCACACTATCAATGCAAGGGGCATTCTTCATACTGACCACCAATGTAAGGAGCATTTTCCCCGCTGGCCATAGTCATTATCTATCAATGTAAGGGGCACTTTTCCCCACTGACCACCAATGTAAGGGACATTCTTCCCACTGACCACCAATATGTAAGGGGCATTCTTTCCACTGACCACCAATGTAAGGGACATTCTTCCCACTGACCACCAATGTAAGGAGCATTCTTCAAACTGACCACCAATGTAAGGAGCATTCTTCCCATTGACCACCAATGTAAGGACCATTCATTCCCACTGACCACCAATGTAAGGAGCATTCTTCCCGCTGACCATAGTCATTATCTATCAATGTAAGGGGCACTTTTCCCCCACTGACCACCAATCTAGGGGACATTCTTCCCACTGACCACCAATGTAAGGGACATTCTTCCACTGATTACCAATGTAATAGGGCATTCTTCCCACTGACCACCAATGTAAGGGGCATTCTTTTCCCCACTGACCACCCAATGTAAGGAGCATTCTTCAAACTGACTACCCAATGTAAGGAGCATTCTTCAAACTGACTTACCCAATGTAAGGGGCATTCTTCAAACTGACTACCCAATGTAAGGAGCATTCTTCAAACTGACTACCCAATGTAAGGAGCATTCTTCTCACTGACCTCCAATGTAAGGAGCATTCTTCCCCCTGACCACCAATGTAAGGAACATTCCTCCCACTGACCACCAAAGTAAGGAGCCTTCTTCCTACTGACCACCAATGTAAGGAGCACTCTTCCCCCTGACCACCAATGTAAGGGACATTCTTCCCACTGACCACCAATGTAAAGAGCATTCTTCCCACTGACCACCAATGTAAGGAGCATTCTTCCCCTGACCTCCAGTGTAAGTAACCTTCTTCCCCACTGACCAAAAGGGGAACTGTTCCCCACTGACCCCCAATGTAAGGAGCATTCTTCCCACTAGACAAAGGGGCATTTTTCCTGCTGATAATGAATAAATTGGATTTAGCAAGATCTCCCAGCATCAATAGACCCCCTCCCTTGGCTGTAGATCCCTGCCAGCAGACCTTGACCCCCCCCCCCCCCCCGAGCAACAACAGAACCCCAGCCAGCAACAATAGACCCCCAGGCAAACAATAGATCCCCGGAAACAATATATCTCACCAGCAACAATAGAACCCCCAGCAGCCAGCCTCAATAGACCCTCCAGCACACCCCACCAACCCCTGACATTACATACATTCAATGCTTGAGGTGCCGGAAAAAAAGCCCTGTGTATGACAATCCTCTCTACAGCAGAACTCAGACTGAAAGTATGATGGTCAGGAGTGGGAGCCAATCAGGCAGACTGCATGCAAATGTACTGACAAGGGATATGCTGTTAGGGGAGAGAGAGCAGAGAGATGACCTCATCGATATGATGCTGATCTTTTATTATCCAATCAGCAGGTTGGGGATGGAGAGAAAGGACACTGCTGTATTCCTTTTACAGTCCATACTGGCAACATAGAAAGCATTGTTTGTGATGTCATTACCCAGACGGTGATTTGGCCAACTAAGGACTCATTTACTCTGCAGTCAAGATAGAAGACTAATAACCCAGAGCATCATGTGACCACAGGTCTATGTAAGTAAAAGAGACTTTTATCATAGGATTTTTAAAAATCAACATAACGATTAGTTGGGGGGGGCAGGAGGGAGGTTGTGGAGGGGGGGGGGGGGGGTCATGTCTGAAGTTCAGCTTTAAATCTGAAGTTTATTCTTCTTATTTTCATATTTTGCTTTCTTTACCCCTCCTCCATCATCAGCACGCTCATAAAATTAGAAAAAAACTTTCTGTTTTCAATTCAGTGCCATGATCACTGGGTGTCTGTTTCTCTCTATGCAATGCAGGCAGACTTTTTCAGGTGGGAGGGACCACCAGGATGCCGTACATAACTTCCTGAAACATCACATTACCTTGCCTCAGTACTCCTCTCAAGAGCACCCAACCCTCTTGGGAGGAGTTATGCAAATATGAAAATGAAGAAGGGGGCATTCCTAGGCAGGCTGTATTTTCATAAAGACCACCCATGTGATCTGGAGCCTTGATGGGCGGACATCAGCGTGGGGGAGTGGGCGTTCTTAGGCAGGCTGTAATATTTGCCTGCAGAGCACCCTGGGTAATGCCCCCATGTGATGCTGACCCTCCTTGATTGGAAGAAGTGAAATCCAATGAATGAAAGAGGCGAGCCAGGGAAATTCAGGCTGGGGTGGAGAGAGCTAGATGATGCTGAATGTCCTCCCAGGAACTGAGGCGGAGCTCTCTCTGACTTGCTGCAGCTTCTAATACACATTGAGAGAAGCTCACAGTGTGCAGTAAAATCAGAGTAAAGCTCGGTTCACACCTATGCAGTTTACGTTTGATCCATTTCTGCAGTGCGTTTTGCATTTTTGCACATGCGTTTTTGCCACCTTTTTGATGTGTTTTGCTTTTTTTTTTGCTAGGCAGATTAAACTGCAAAACGCTGCAAAAATGCAGCAAAAACGCACTATATGCTTGTCTGGAGCGTTTCTATTTGAAATATATAGAACCAAAAACGCAACGTTTTGCGTTTAAAAATGTCACTGACCCTTTACAAAAAATGCACCCAGGTGAAAACGCGGAGATGTGAACCTGTCCCAGAGGAAATCATGTTAAATGGACTGTAGTAGTCAATTACGTCACCAATCTTGTCTCCAAATATCACCCAAACCGTCCTCTCCGCTCCTCGCATGACCTCCTGTTCTCTAGCTCCCTTGTCTCCTCCTCCTATGCTCATCTGCAGGACTTCTCCAGAGCCTCCTCCATCCTCTGGAACTCTCTACCCCAGTCCCTATCAGACTATCGCCTACTCTGCCCTGCCCACTTTTATGCGATCTCTGAAAACTTACTCTTCAGGGAAGCCTATCCTGCCTTCAGCTAATAATGGAATCTTCTATTCCTCCTATCAGGTCCATCCCCCACAGTTATTACCTTTTGTACCACTAGCCCCTCCCTCTTAGATTGTAAGCTCCAAGGAGCAGGCGGGCCCTCCCCTAATGCAGGCCATAGACGGGTCGAAAACCGGACCATTTAAAAAAAAAAAATCAGTCGTTCAATAGCCAACATTACCACCAACGGTAAAAAAAATCGGCCGATTTGCGTCCCGTCTGCGGCCGGCATTTAATTACTTCTGTCCCTGCAAGAGCTCGGCTATTATATTTGACATGAAAAAGTATTGCGGTTGCAACAATGTATCTATTTGTATCCATTTCGGATACAGATGTTTTTATTCGGATACAAATAGATACATTGTTGCAAGTGGGATAAATTCTTTATTGCAAGAGTTGGTGAATATGTTGATACTTTTCTGAAAAATATTGTTATGACAAATAGGGCTTTTCTGAGAGATGGTGGACATCTTATTAATATTCTTAAAGAATTACATAATGTTGATAATTGCATATTGGTTACTATAGATGTAGAATCTTTATAATACTAAACATCGATCAAAATGATGGAATTAATGCGGTAAAATGGGCCCTTATTAACATAAATCACTCCTGAAAAGATCGCAGAGGAAATTCGTTGTTGAATTACTTGAATTTGCGATGAATAATAATTTCTTTTGGTATAACAACACTTTTTTTTTCAGCAATGCAAAGGTGTTGCTATGGGAGCTAAGTATGCTCCCAGTGTTTGCAAAATCTGGTAATGATAAATGGGAGGAAGAAAGTAATTTTTCAATAAATGGCCAGAGATGGCGCTATACAAGAGGTATATTGATGACATTATAATGGTATGGGATGGATCCAGAGAAAAACTCGATTCTTTTATGGAATATATTAACATGAACCGCTATGGATTTGAGATTCACTGTTATTAGTGATTTTTGAGCGAATTAATTTTTTGGATCTGGTCCTATATAAAGATAATGATCAAATTTGTACCAAAACTTACTTCAAGGAAGTGGACAAAAACAGCTATATACCTATTTCTAGTGTGACATCATCCAAATTGGTTATATAGCACTCCAAAAAGTCAGTTTACCAGATAAAAAGAAATTGTAGCGCTAACAAAGATTTTTTTCGATCAATCTGAGGTTTAATTGAAAGATTTCTAGAGAAAGGGTATGATAAGACCTTTTTTGATTAAAGAGAGAAATTCGATTGGTATTAAAGATAGGGAGACATTTCTTGGAAATAAAAAGGCTCATGTGGCATTTTAAAATAATGTACCCTTTATTACTAACTATAATATGCAATATAAAAATATTGAACGAATTTTTAAAAAAAATTGGCCCATTTTGCTAAAAGATGATAATACTAAAATAAATTCTTATCTAAAACTCCTAAATTCATTTATATAAGAAAAATAAGTCTCTTAGGATGAAATTGGCTCGCAATGTCATCGAACCCCCAAAAAAGTTCGATCTGTTTCCAAATTGAAATGGTTTTTTTCCTTGTAGGAAGTGTAAAGTATGTAGGACTGTAAAAGTCGGTAGTAAATAAAAAAAGAAAGTCATTCTGCCTCTCATTTTCCAAAAAAGAATATGATATTAAATCCCAGATTACATGTAATTCTACACATGTGATTTATGTTTTAGAATGTCCATGTCATTTGAGATATATTGGGAGAACTGGGAGATGTTTAAAAACAAGAATAGGCGAACATATAAGAAACATAGTAAAAGGATTTGATAAACATAGTGTACCAAACATTTTAAATTGGTACATAATTGTGATCCGAGCTTACTTACCTTTTATGGGATTGAGATGGTAAAACCCCATTGGTAGGGGCTCGGATTTGGTTAATGAGATTTCCAAAAAAGAGACGTTTTGGATTTATGAACTAAATTCCTTGCAGACCATTCGGGTTAAATGTCGATATAGATTTGAACTGTTTTTTCTCACAAATTTTTAAATTTTAATTTTTATGCTTTTTAAGTATATTTTCATATAGGCAACTGTTTTAAAGATGATATATGGAAGATTGTGTGTTTTTTATACAATTTCTGCATTATTTTTGTATTATCACTAGAGTTCCCCTTTATTTGTGCTAATGTGTTACTGGCCCTTTAAGTTCCCTTTTTTGAAACACAGTCTTAGAGGGTATTGGCCCGTTAATGTATTTATTTATTTAATTTATTTACTATCATTGTTTTAACATTTAAATTTCTTTTTATTTTTGTTCCCTTGTTTTAAAGTTTTTTGGTTGTGATGGCAAATATATTGATATATTGTATACTTTTTGTGGACTTCTGTCATCCTTGGGGCGGCTTGCTTTGCTTGATTCCCCATTGATGTCAGCTGTTTCGTTTCCTGTGAGTGTATATTTTAATGAGGGTGAGACGTCTCACATCTATCCGCTCCGTGAGGACGTCGATGACGAAACGCGTAGGGCGAGCTTGATTGATGTGATGTCATTACGTTTTTGACTGCCAGCTATTGCACATGTGCTGAGTAGTCAGGCTCGTTATGTGATTGCTGTTGATACTGTTGATGCTGGTGTCGGCTGGGACACCTCTTGAGTAAGTGCAATGAGTATCTAATAAAAGAATTGGTTTTTATAATATTTGCACCATGAAGTCTTTCTGTTTCTCTCGAGTGCTTGGCATTTCCCCCATGGATACGTTTGAAGGTGGTCCTTTTTTCTATTGGAGAAGTGGATTTTCGATTAACTACAAAGTTTTTTCGTCCTGTTATTTCGATCGATGAGGAAAGAGCTTCCGTTTCTGAAGATATTTTTATGGATGATCTGCCATTATATTATCAAGGTTTTTTTGGTGAAATTTTTTTTATATTGAGACACTTTTTTATATTGAGACACTCCTTTTGCACAAAAGTTTTTTTGCACCTAAAAAGTTTTTTTATTTTTCTGTGGTATTGGTATATATATATATTTTTTCTGGACTTATGATTTGATGATTTCTTTACATATACTTATATATAATTTACTAGCGCAAATATTTATTAATTGTTGCAACCGCAATACTATTTTATGTCAAATATAATAGCGGACTGGAATTCTTCTTCTTCTCTCCTCCTCCTCCTCTGCTCATGCGCAGATTTTCTATCAGTAAAAAGATCGCCGATTTGCCCATCATTGCCAGGAAAATCGGCCGATTTTTTTCCAACTTCACCGATAAAAAAAAAATTTGCCAAAACCCCGAAAAACGGCTAACCAATTAACCCATTAATGGTGCGAAAATTGGCTGATTTTTTTTTTTTTTCGGCCAAAAAATCGGCCTGTCTATGGCCTGCATAACCCCCTTGTATTGAACTGTATTGTTGCTGTATTGTCTCCCTTTATATTGTAAAGTGCTGAGCAAACTGTTGGCGCTATATAAATCCTGTATAATAATAATAATAATATATAAATTCTGTATAATAATAATAATATATAAATCCTGTATAATAATATATAAATTCTGTATAATAATAATAATAATATAAATTCTGTATAATAATAATAATATATAAATTCTGTATAATAATAATAATATAAATTCTGTATAATAATAATATATAAATCCTGTATAATAATAATAATAATAATAATAATATATCAATTCTGTATAATAATAATAATAATAATAATAATATATAAATCCTGTATAATAATAATAATATATATAAATTCTGTATAATAATAATAATAATATATCAATTCTGTATAATAATAATAATAATAATAATAATATATAAATCCTGTATAATAATAATAATAATATATAAATTCTGTATAATAATAATAATATATAAATCCTGTATAATAATAATAATAATAATATATAAATTCTGTATAATAATAATAATATATAAATCCTGTATAATAATAATAATAATATATAAATTCTGTATAATAATAATAATAATAATAATATAAATTCTGTATAATAATAATAATATATAAATCCTGTATAATAATAATAGTGTGTTTCTGCAAAACGCAAAAAGCTGCGGAAAACGCATAGGTGTGAACCTAGGGTAAGCCATTTCAGTCCAGGAGAGGAGTCGGTACAGCTGCGCAAGACTGAAGGGAAGGCCGAAGTTCCGCCAGAACAAAAATTCTTGCAGTGTACATAAAACAACTTTAACTATAACAATTCTGAAAAAAAAAGTTATATAATAATTAAAAAAATATATATTCCTTGCAAATAAAAAGTTTACTTTTTAGCTTTTCTTTTTTTTAAAGCTCGGTATGAAGTGAAGAGTCTACCTGTCTTACATGAGGAGGGAAGAGAGCGCCGGAGAAGCTTTATTAAAACTCATCCATCAAGGTAATTCTCGCTGTCATTATTTAAAGTCGGGCCAGCCATTGTCAGCCTCGTTGACATGGGCGGATTTTGTACACGGAATTTTGGCTTTATAATGTTCATTAAAAATATAGCGGAGCTGTCAGCTCACTTCACCGTTCAGGAGATCTCAATCGAGATTGTCAAAGTAAATATTAGAGGAGAAAGAATGAAATTTTTCAAAATTTGTTTAAAAAAGTGACATCTGTTTCTATTTTATTAGAGAACCGAGAAAATTCACCGTTGGCGGTGGAAGATGTGTTATTTTAACTTTTATTTCTTATTTACAAAGTGCATCAGAGCTTAAACTGGGAAAGTTTACTTATCGAATTGCATTGTATATATATTTTTGTGGGTTTAACCACTTAAATACCAGCCTGTAAAGCTCTTCCTTACAGGCCATTTTTCAGATCTCAGCACTTTGATAGTTTGAACCGACAGTTACTCCATCATGCAGCACTGTACCCAAAATTAATTTATATATAATAGTATATAAATAATTTTTTTAATAATATACAGTATCTCCCAGAAGTGAGTCCCCCCTTCATATTTATTTTTGTAAATATTTGATTCTCTCTTTTCATGTGACAACACTGAAGAAATGACACTTTGCTACAATGTGACGTAGTCAGTGTACAGTTTGTATAACATGTAAATTTGCTGTCCCCTCAAAATAACTCAACACACCGCCATTAATGTCTAAACCGCTGGCAACAAAAGTGAGTCCACCTCTAAGTGACAAGGTCCAAATTGGGCCCAAAGTGTCAATATTTTGTGTGGCCGCCATTATTTTCCAGCACTGTCTTAACCCTCTTGGGCATGGAGGTCACCAGAGCTTCACAGGTTGCCACTGGAGTCTTCTTCCACTCCTCCATATATTGGATATTAGAGACCTTGCGCTCCTCCACCTTCCATTTGAGGATGCCCCACAGATGCTCAATAGGGTTTAGGTCTGGAGACATGCTTGGCCAGTCCATCACCTTCACCCTCAGCTTTTTTTGCAAGGCAGTGGTCATCTTGGAGGTGTGTTTGGGGTCATTATGTTGGAATACTGCCATGCGGTCCAGTCTCCGAAGGGAGGGGATCATGCTCTGCTTCAGTATGTCACAGTACATGTTGGCATTCATGGTTCCCTCAATGAACTGTAGCTCCCCAGTGCCAGCAGCACTCATGCAGCCCCAGACCATGACACTCCCACCACCATGCTTGACTGTAGGCAAGACACACTTGTCTTTGCACTCCTCACCTGGTTGCCGCCACACACGCTTGACACCATCTGAACCAAATCAGTTGATCTTGGTGTCATCAGACCACAGGACGTGGTTCCAGTAATCCCTGTCCTTAGTCTGCTTGTCTTCCGCAAACTGTTTGTGGGCTTTCTTGTGCATCATCTTTAGAAGAGGCTTCCTTCTGGGACGACAGCCATGCAGACCAATTTGATGCAGTGTGCGGCGTATGGCCTGAGCACTGACAGGCTGACCTCCCCCACCCCTTCAACCTCTGCAGCAATGCTGGCAGCACTCATTTATCTATTTCCCAAAGACAACCTCTGGATATGACGCTGAGCACGTGCACTCAACTTCTTTGGTGTACCATGCGAGGCCTGTTCTGAGTGGAACCTGTCCTGTAAAACCACTGTATGGTCTTGGCCACCATGCTGCAGCTCAGTTTCAGGGTCTTGTCAATCTTCTTATAGGCTAGGCCAATTTTATGTACAGCAAAAATGTGTTTCAGATCCTCAGAGAGTTCTTTGCCATGAGGTGCCATGTTGAACTTCCAGTGACCAGAATGAGAGACTGAGAGCGATAACAGCAAATTTAATAGATCTGCTCCCCATTCACACCTGAGACCTTGTAACACTAATGAGGGAAAATGGCTAATTGGGCCCAATTTCTTCAGTGTGGTCACATGTAAAGATATAATAAAATATTGACAAAAATGTGAGGGGTGTACTCACATTTTTTTTTTGAGGCAGAGATTTATTTTTGTAATATTTAATAAGTGATTTTTTTTTCTACAAAGTTTTGGAAAATACCTGTTCCCCTTGCTTTCTCTTAAAATAAAAAAGCCAGAATAGTACAAAATCCCCCCCCCCCCCATGACCCTTTTTTTGGAAAGCAGACACCCTAAGGTGATCTCAGTTTTTGGCAACAATTTTTGGGAAATGAAGAAACATGCCTGAACTGAGGGAGTAAAACATGGGGACGTGAGAATGGTGTCCCCAAATGGGTTTTATACCATTTTTTTTTTTTTAGAAAGAGCTTTCTTTTGGTGGTATTTAACCCCTTAGTGCCAGCACCTCCCCGCCTTTTAAGCCAAGGTACTCACTTGTCAGGCTCTAGAAATTGATTGCCAACATCCCAGATAATAGAGAAAATGGAGATTCTCCAAAAATTGTTTGGGACTTTATTGGCAATGAACCCAAGAACTGAGGTAAAATTCCAAAAACATTTTTTAATCAACACATTTAGTTAATTAAATATAGTATAATGGCTACATTACAAAAAGGACAAAGAAACTAGTGTTAATACTTAGTTGTGTGGAGCACCCGACGCGTTTCAGATTCATTTTCTTTCCTTAGGGGTATATTCAGGGGCGGACTGACAACTCATGGGGCCCCCGGGCAATAGGGGATCATGGAGCCCCTGTGTCCTTGCCCAAACTCAAAAAAGCCTATGAAAAAGGTACCAGGGGCATCTCATGGGGCCCCTGTCAAGGTTCTACCTTTTCCCAGAGGTTATGCTGCTCCATGTGCTGGCATCCATCTTGGGTTTCTGCAGAGCATGGTGGGAGTCTTTTATGCCTTCAGGCCTCTGAGGTCCATCCCCCAGAGGGGTGTGGTTGATCACATATAAGCCTGTTGTCCGCACGTGCTCTTTGCATTTCTGTCTTGTATGTTCATGTTGCAACAATCTCTGTTTCTACTCTCGTGGCTCTCCTGGAAACTGACTCGGCTTTTGACTGACTATTCTCTGCGTTATCCATTTATCTGACCTCCCGTTGCCGAACCCGGCTTGTGACCTGTTATTCTTGTCTACCATTCTGTACTGTCTGTCCCGTTGTTATCGACCCGACTTGTCCGACTACGCTATTGTCTTATCTGGTTCCTACCAACTACACGCCATAGGCGGCGGCCATTACCGCAGCTAGGGTGTCTCGTGGGCCGCGACCTGGTCCCTGGCTGAGTCAAGTCCATCCCCACCATCAGGGGCCCTTGTGAAGGGCAGCCTGGGACTTAGACTCCGCGCCCTGAGAGACTCGGGTCTGTGGGTGGTGGTTGTCATCAGTCGGTGCGTGACCCTGCCATTAGGCCTGCCTGTCCATTCCACAGCTCCTGCCCTGACAGCCCCCTACTGATCCCGGGCCCTCAGGCAGTGCCCGAGTTTCCAAATGGTCAGTCCGCCCCTGGGTATAGTAGCGAGGAGGATGGTGAAAATACCTTCATCCTATGCATATGCACTTGCATCCGTAGTAGCCGTGATTACGTAAAAACAATTTGCCAATGTCTACCAGGCCCACCAGGATAACGAGGTGCAGAAAGCACCACCGAGAGGACCAGTGCCCTCACACCGAGGCCACCCAATACAGCAACTCAGACCGAGCTTATTTCGATTCAAGCCCACAATTCAATATGAAAGATGGCTACGGAGAAGAGCAGTAGCCTTCGAAAGTTGTTTCAGATAAATCATTAAATGAGTCTCTGTAGTTCTAGGGGCGGGGTTTAGGGTGATGTGACCACCATGTCGCAGCGGTCTCATGATTAGAAAGCTCCTGGTCACAAGTAGCGTTCGGGACCTTTCCGCGAGGTGCCAATCAATGTGCCGGGAGCGTGTGGGACAACCACTTTTGGCACATGTTTTGTTTACATTGGGTATGCAAATATGTGGCCTCATGGCATCCAGGCCCAGCCACCAAGAGGCCACATATTTGCGTACCATTTTTAATTTTATAAGGGTAGAGCTTTCTATTGGTGGTATTTAACCCCTTGGTGCCAGCGCCTTTTAAGGGGTTTATGATACTGCAAGGTGGGGCAGGGTTTAGGGTGATGTGACCGCTGTGATTAGCTGTCGTATTGGTCACATGATCGAAAAGCTCCTGATCGCAAGTAGCGATCGGGGCCTTTCTGTGAGGCACGTGCAGGGCGCACACTCTTTGCACATGTTTTGTTTACATTGGGTACGCAAATTTGCGGCCTTACGCTGTCCAGGCCCAGCCACCGAGAGGCCACATATTAGCGTACTGTTGGCACCACCAAAGAGTTAATAACGTTTTTTTTCAAATAATATTATTGTTTTACTATAAAATAGACTAAAAATGTTTTTAGAAAAAGTTTCCCTCCTTTTTTGGCCACAATTTTTTGGACATGAAGAAAAATGCCGGAACCGGGGGTTAAACATGGCGGTGTAAGATTGGTGCACCCAAATGGGTTTTATACCTTTTTTTTTTTTTTTTTTTTTTTTTAAAGATAGAGCTTTGTTTTGGTGGTATTTAACCCCTTGGTGCTGGCTCCTCCCGGCCCTTTAAGGGGTTTATGATACTGTGAGGTGGGGCGGGGTTTAGAGTGATGGGACCACCATGATTAGCTGTTACAGTGGACACGTGATCAGAAAGCTCCTGATAGCAAGTAGCATTCGGGACCTTTTCGTGAAGCGGCGGTCAATGGGCCGGGAGCATGTGTGGTGCACACTCTTGGCACATGTTTTGTTTAGATTGGGTATGCAAATATGCTGCCTCATGCCCAGAGGCGGACTGACCATTTGGAAACTCGGGCACTGCCCCAGGGCCCGGGGTCAGTAGGGGGCCCCATGAGATGCCCCTGGTACCTTTTTCATAGGCTTTTTTGAGTTTGCGCAAGGACACAGGGGCCCCATGATCCCCTATTGCCCGGGGGCCCCATGAGTTGTCAGTCCGCCCCTGCCCCAAAGTGATCTCATGCTGTACCCACATTCTTTGGAAATGAAGAAACGTGCTGGTACTGGGGGGATTAAACACGGAGAGAAAATGGTGCACCCAAATGAGTTTTATATCTTTTTTTGAGACAGAGCCTTCATTTGGTGGTATTTAAAACACAAAGTTTTTTTTTTTTTAGCCTCCCTGGCGGTATTCCCGAGTGTCGCTCGGGGTAAAGTTTCAGTGCCACAAGCGGTAACCCCGAGCTACACTCAGGAATACACTGCAGTGTTGCTCCGGGATCTGTTCTTCACTTACCTTATCCTGCACTCCTGCGATGTCCCCCCTGCAGTGTCCCCGGCCATCTCCTCCTCCTCCATCTTCCGGGTTCCGTTCCCTGCGAGCGTCGGGACGTACGGGGGACAGAACTGGTGGGAAATTTGAAAATGACAAAAAGTGACATTCACTAAATACACTAAAATCACATAGTATAACATTCCTGTATCAAACCATTTCACATACATTTTGTCCCGAGTGCTTTGTCCGGCGCCCTGCCTGCATTTTTACTGTTCTTTCTGCCTGGAAACTGAGAAACGTCCATGGCATCCAAAAAGCGTCCCTTTAGGTCAAAAGCGGTTTTAGACCGGCTAGAGAACAGCGATAGTAAATCAGAACACTTGCAGAATTGAGTGATAATGATTCGTGGGGAAAATTCCTCATCAGACACTGAAAACGATTCTGCGCCTTTGCTCAGCGATGTGCGAACTTGGCGCTCTATTTCAAATTTCAGTGTTTTTGGTTTGATTATATTATTGAATAAAATGTATTATTATATTATTATTTTTTATGATTATTTATTAAATTATAATTTATGATTTCGTGTTTCAAATTTTAACATACCCGGGATGTTTACTAGACTCTTGTTCGGACAGATTTCAGTGAGTTATTCCTAAAAATTACAGGCCTACAATTAAAAAAAATACATATTTCCATGCAAAAAATGTACCGCTTTGAGCACAGAAATATGGACATAATCAGACCGCTAGGGAGGTTAAATCATACCTAGGTGGATGCAGCATTGATCCAATGCTGCATCTGTCTCCCACCAGATCTAAAGTCTAAGAACTGTAGGTGGTAATACAGACTCCTCTCCTGGACTGAAATGGCTTACTCTGATTTCACTGCACACTGTGAGCGTCTATCAGTGTGCATTAAAAGCTGTAGCAAGTCAGAAAGCACCCGCCTAATTTTCAGCAACATCCAGCCCTTTCTTTCTCCTTAGCCTTCCCCTTTCATTCATTGGATTTTAAGCCTAACTCCAGGTTTCATTCCACTAATAGTTTGTTTGGGCAAGCTGGCCAATCCCCGATCTGCATCTTTCTGCTGCCTTTTTATGTCCCTGCCAGGGGTGGACTGAAAACTCATGGGGCCCCCGGGCAATAGGGGATCATGGGGCCCCTGTGTCCTTGCCCAAACTCAAAAAAGCCTATGAAAAAGGTACCAGGGGCATCTCATGGGGCCCCCTACCGACCCCGGGCCCTCGGGCAGTGCCCGAGTTTCCAAATGGTCATTCCGCCCCTGGTCCCTTCTCACCTGCTCCCTAGAAAGGTCCTATCCCAGCAGAAGCACATGTGGGTGAGAGGTGGGTAAGAAAACCTTACAAAGTCCCAATCTGACAATTAGGGACGTCGCTAGTGGGGCCCCGATGCAGCAAGCACTGGCACTGCAGCCGGCTTCTTTCCCTGCTGGCTGCCCATCAAATGTAGCAAAATTCAGAGCTGAGGGAAATTTCCCCAAGGCCCCTTCTGTGTAACGAAAAGCCTGGGCGGAAGGATATCTCATAGCAATCCGCCATGCTGCATCTCAGTTCTTTAAGTTTTAGGGAGGGGGGGAAACCATATGAGAACATGAGTGTGTGTATGTGTGGGTGTGTGTGTGTGTGTGTGTGGGGGGGGGGGGGGGGGGTTGAATAA